CCTCGCCGCCGCTCGCCGCTTGCGCGGCGCTCGCCGGGGGGCCGCCGGAGGGGCCGCCGCCCCACCTCCTGGGCAGCCGCGCCGCCGCAGCCGCACGCCGGGCCGCTGAGGCGACGCTGCGGCTACGCCGGCCTGCGGGTCGGCGAGGCCAGCAACCCTGGGCCGCCTGGGGGGGCGCCGCTGCTCTGCCCAGGCTGCCGGGCCCGCTCCGCGCTGCGCGAACCTTGCCTGGAGAGACTTGCGCTGCCTGCTTCGGGAGGGCTGGGCCTGGCGGCTGGCTCCACCACTGGCTGCGAGGCGCTCCTCTGCCGCACCTGCGCCGCCGCCGCCGCACCGCCGCCTGCTGGAGAAGGGGCGCCCGCTGCCGCGGGCGCCGCGCCCGCTGCCGCAGCATTCCCGCTCCGCGACTTGGCCGACCCCTGCTGGGCGGGCTTGGACCAGATTGACCTGCTGGAGGAGCTCGCGGAAGACGTCCCCACGCTCCGCTACGTGCCGGGGGGGGCGCGCACCGCGGCAGCCCAGGCCACGGAAGAGGTCTGCAAGGCCGTCCTCGGTGCTGCGGCCGGCAGCCAGCAGGAGGACAGAGCTTGGAAGCTCCTGCTCCTGCGGGAGAGGCTTCTTTTCGCTGCGCCGCTCCGGCTGCGCGGGGGGCGCTCGCGGCGGACGGCCGCGGAGACGCTGGACCGCGCCCGGCTTGTGCGAGAGCGCTGCGCGACCTTGCAGCGGGGCGGCTGGGAGGAACTGCTGGCGGAAGCTCGCAGGACGGGCCGGGCACTGGCGAAAGCCCGACGCGAGGGGCGCTGCCCAGACCACGACGCCAGCACCCTGGCCGACGAGGCGCTGCGGAAGGCGCTTGCCGAGGAGTACTCCCGAGCAGCGGCGCTGCTGAGCAGCCCGGGGCTCGCTCCGCTGACGCCAGAGACCGGGCAGCAGCTCCAGGGCCTCCTGCAGCCGAGGGACGCCCCCGCCCTGGCGCCGCCGCCAGCCCGACAGCTCGACGACGCGCCCCTTTCCTACGGGCGGCTGAAGAAGGTCCTCTGGGCGAGCCCCAAGGGGAGCGGGGCCGCTGTCGGCGGCGGCAGGTTCGAGCACTGGCGGGTGGTCCTCTCTGATTCTGGGGCGCTGGGGGCCTTCTGCGGCGTCTGCGACCGCCTGGCTGAGGGGCGAGTCCCCGAGAGCGCCGCCGCTGCCCTGGCTACCTCCAAGCTCGCGCCGCTGCGGAAGGGCGAGCGCGGCGTCCGGCCCATCGCGGCGCCGAACATCTTGCGGCGCTTGGTGGGCCGCGCACTGGCAACCGAGCGACGGGGCCGCTTGCTAGACGCGCTCGGCAGACAGCAGTTCGCCATCGGCACGGCCGCGGGGACTGAACTGCTGGCGCACTCAGTGCGCGCTCTGCTGGAAAACGCGCCACACCTGGTGGTTACGGTTACTGCCTTGGACGCGAAGAACGCTTTCTGCACCGCGCGCCGGGCCACTTGCCTGCAGCAGCTGGAGGAGGTGGATCCCTCCCTCCTCCCCTTCGCAGAACTCTTCTGCAGGCGCCGCTCGCAGTACTTCTTCTGGGACAGCAAGGGGGCCTGCCACCGACTGCACGCCACTGACGGCGTGGACCAAGGGGACCCGCTCGCGCCCCTCCTCTTTGCCTGCGGCCTGCGCCCCTACTTGCGCGCGCTCGAGGAGGACCTGCGCCGCCGGGCTGAGGCGCGCGGGCTTCCGCCGAGCGAAGTTCACGTGCTCGCCTACCTGGACGACCTAGTGGTCCTCGTGCCGCCAGAGCTCGCTGCGGAGGTGCTGCCAGCGGCGCAGGCCACGCTTGCCCCGCTCGGACTGGAGCTGCAGCCAGGCAAAACGCAGGCTTGGTCACCCCGCGCCCCTTGCCCGCCTGGCCTGGAGGCGCACTGGCAAGAGAGAGGCCTAACGCTGGTTGGAGCCGCGCTCTCCGAGCAGCCACAGCCGCGGGAGCTGCCGCGCCCGGACGAGGGGCGCCGGGCAGACCTGGGCGCAGCCGACTACGCCACGGAGAGCGCCGAGGACGCCGCGACACGAGCCGCCGGGCTGCTCTCGAAGGTGGCCGAGCTGCCCTCGCTGGCCTCCCCGCACCTGCCTGCTGTGCAGACGGCGGCCCTGCTCTTGCGGCACTGCGGGACTGGCAAACTGACGCACACGCTTCGCGCGACGCCTCCCGAACAGGCGCGCCCGGCGGCGGCGGCCTACGACGCTGCACTCCTGGCCGCCTACGAAGAGCTCGGGCACCTGGACCCGCTCACGCCACAACAAAAGCAACGCTGCCAGCTCCCGCTGCGCTTGGGCGGCCGCGGCCTTCGCAGCCAGGAGGAGCTGGCCCCGGCGGCCTGGGCGGCCTCCTGGGCGCAGAGCCTGGGCGCCTTGCGGGAGCGGACGGGGCTGGCCTCCCTGGACGACCTGGACACGAGCCCGCTACCGCTCGCCGCTGCTTGCCGGAGCAGCCTTGCCGGGCTCGCGGCGCTGCCGCCGCCGCCGCCTCGCTGGGGCGCCGGCCCTGACAGGCTGCCCACTTGGGCCGAGCTCGCCACCGAGCCTCAGAAGAAGCTCCAGAGGACGCTCACAGCAAGGATTGACCAAAAAACTTACACCTCCTTGCTGGGCTCCCTGGGCTCGGATGTGGACCGGGCGCTGCTTCGCTCCTGCGGCGGCCCGCACTCCGCGGCCTGGCAGACGGCCTCGCCAGGCGAGCCCCGCCAGCGCTTGGAAGACGCCGCCTACCGCTCAGCGACGCGCTGCCTGCTAGGCCAGGACGCGGCCCCGCCAGGCGCCACCTGCTCAAACTGCACCCGCACAGGGGAGCGGGCTGGCCGGCGCTGCGGCGAACCGCTCTGCGCCAAGGGCCGCCACGCCTGGCGGTGCCCGCGCGGAGGGGGCCTCAAGGCACGCAGCGGCGACTTGGAAGCGGCTTGGGCGCACATCCATGCCGAGTGCGGCTACCAGGTGGCTCGCCAGACGCCAGTGCCCGCCTGGGACCGCTGGCGCTGGCACTGCAGCAGCTGCGCGGCGAGCGGCACGGCGGCGACCCGGCCGGCAGCGGGCGCGGCTTGCTCCTGCGGCGCCCCGCTCGCAGCCCGGCGCGAGGAAGCCATCCTCGACCTGGAGATTCAGCGGGCTGACTGCCCCCGAGTCTTCCTGGACGTCACCGTGCGGTACGCCGTGCCGGGCGACGCCGAGGGGCTCCAGGCTGCCGCGGCGCGGGACGGCGCCGTCAACAAGGGCGCCGAGGCGGACAAACACGCTCGGTACCCTGCCGGGCGAGCGCCCTGGCGGATGGTGCCACTCGCCCTCGAAACGGGCGGGCGCCACGGCCCAGCCGCCCTGCGCCACCTGCGCCTGCTGGCGAGGGACCGGGCGCAACTGCTCGCAGGGGACGACCCCGCTGCCGCCGCTGCCGCGGCCGGCGCCCTCACGCGCCGCTGGGGCGCGGAACTGGCTGTGGCCCTGCAGGCGGCCACCGCGCGCCAGCTGCGCACAGCGCTGGGGGCGGAGGCGGCGCGGCCGCGCGCCCGCGCGGCACTGGCCGCTGAGCTCGCTGCCTGAGCTGGAGGACCTGGGCGACTATCCGGCCGGAGGCCGGGCCTAGCCGCTAGGCCTGGCGTCCGGCCGGGAGGTGGGTGTATCGCCGTGGAGCACCACCGGTTCGTCGCGTCGCTCGTCGGCGACAGAGCGGGCGCAAGCGCGGCCGCGACCGTGCCTCGCCGCTCGCAGGAGGAGGAGGAGGAGAAGGAGGAGGAGGAAAAGGAGGCTCAGCCCCGCCCGAGGCACGGCCTCCCTCCCCCCCCGCCCTCCCAGAAGGTGCAGCAGGTACGAGCCCAGGCCTCCGCCGCTCGTCTCTCTCTCTCTCTCTCTCTCTTTTGCCCACGCCTCGCTGGCCCCCGAAGGCCTGCCCCGCCTCCAGATCCGCAGTGCGGTGCGGGAGGAGGAGGAGGAGGAGGAGGAGGAGGAGGAGGAGGAGGAGGAGGAAGAGGAGGAGGGGCGAGGAGGAGGAGGAGGAGGAGGAGGAGGAGGAGGAGGAGGGGCGAGGAGGAGGAGGAGGGGCGAGGAGGAGGAGCGAGGAGGAGGAGGAACCGTTGGGTGAGGAGCCCGGTGCGGTGTGGGCACTTCCCGCTTCGAGGACGCAGCACACGCCCGCGAACAGAATTCGCACGGGCGCACGGACGACCCCACGGGGAGGCCACGCCCGCTCGGACGCCGAGGCGGGGCGTCGCGAGCCCGCGGACCGCCTGCCCCGCGCAGGCCCGCCCGCCGAGGCCCCGGCGGCGGCTCCAGGCCCCGGCGGGTGGCAGACCCAGGCCGGCGGCCAGCTGCGGTGTGGGCATTGGGCAGGGAACCGTTGGACAAGGTGCCCCGGGGTCTGGAAGGAGCGCGTTCCTCTACTTTCGGCGGTGAGGGGCAGTACAGGGAGGGAGGGGAGGGGCCAGGGGGGGGGTATGACGTGACGCCTCCTCCCCCACCGTGCGCACGGTGGCAATGCCCGGAGCGCACTGGGGGGGGAGGGGGGCGTTACGTTAAAGGGGGGGGGGGGCCGGGGGCTATAATGCGCATTATGCCCCAAACAATAAAGAAACACGCTCAAGCCGGAGGACCTCCAACAATGCTGGCTTGGCCATGGATGTCACTGCCTCCCTCGTCAGGTAGGGAATCCTCCAAGGTCTGAAGCCTCCTCGGCACATTCCTTAACCAACGCCCCCACCGTACTTTGCTTGTTTCTCCGACTTGGCACTCTGTCGGAAAGTCACCCCTAACGAAGAAAAAGAAGGGCAGAAATGCCCGCCTCGGAGGACCAGGGCGGACATCTCTGGAGAAATGCATGGCGGAAGCAGCGACGGCAGCAGGGCGGACATCGACATCCGAGGAGCTCGAACAGTAGGGCCAGCCTTTTCCGCCCTCCCTGCGACAACCCTCAAGGCACGGCGGACTCGGAGTCAGGGTGCACCCCTTCCCTGGGAGGGGCTGCGCACCCCGCCTCGCTTTTTCCGACGGCCCCGGAAGCCGAGGGCCTCCAACCGCCGTCCGCCGCGACGCTTTCGCGGCGCGAGGCTGCCTGGGAGAGCGGCGCGGCGCGGCGGAGCGGCGATCGCGGATCGCGGCGGAGCGGACCGGAGGCGGCGCTCTGGCGGGTGGTAATGGGGGGGGGACTTGTAAGCCCCGGGGGGGTCTGCATCCTTGCCGCGAGCATGTGGGCGTTTTCTTCTTCGGCGTTCCGGCATTTGGCGGAGGGGGGGGGGGAAGGGGGGTCTGGCTCCGGACCTCTGCTCAATGAGTCTGTTTGCGACAGTGCGTCCTAAAACGCCGTGACAAAAGATTATGCGGTTTTATGATATGTTGGAATATCTTATCCCTCTGAAGATTCCAAACATTGACATGCGTCCTCCGCGTGAATTCGTCTACCTCTAATTAATAACATTGTTATCTCAAAACAGGATCGGAAATTACTCCGCCCATTCCTGTATGAAAAACGGGACGGGATGCATGTCCACGCGGAGTAATTTCTACTCCGCCCACTCCGTTTACTCCGCCAGTCTTGAGTCATGTTGAATGAAGACCGCAAAATACTTTTGTCACGGCAATGTACAGGGGAGACCCCACCTGCTCGAAGCGGGCGCCAAGAAACCGCTAAGATACACTGGGGCATGGGGGGAGGTGCGAGGGCCCGCGCCGATTGGCAAAACAATGAATAAGAACACGATCACCATGGGGGCCCTGGCAGTCCGGGCGAGGCAGTTTGAAGGCCGATTTGGGGCGAAAGTTCGCGGCGGCCGGGAGGATGGCCGATGTGTGGGGCCAGCGAGATGGCCGAGGCTTGGAGCCGGGAGGATGGCCGAGGTGCGGGGCCGGGGGAATGGCCGAGCTGGTAACCTGCCACAAGGTGCGCGACCGTCCCAGGCCCCCTGGTATCTACAAGGCGTGACCCACATGGGGGATGAGGACAAGGGCCTTTTGGGCACCAGCTGGCTCCGAAAAGGGCCCTGAAGGGCCCCTTCAGGGCCCCTTCACCCCCCATGGGTGATGGGCGCCGGCCCGGCGGATCTTGAGAAGCCCAACTGGCGCTCAAGCTCTCTCGCGGCTCGGGTCGAAAACTGCGGAAGCAAGCAGCGACCGCAGCAGCAACATGGCACCAGACATGCCGTAACGGTTCTGTGTTTGCACTCCCCAGGGGGCTGACCTGGGCCACCCCCCATTACCACCCGCCCGAGGCGTGCCGCGCGCGAAAGACACTTAGGGCCCTTTCTTCACCCCCCATTTGGGCCACCCCCCATTACTGAAGGGGCCCTGGGACACACAAATCACTAGACACAGGTGACAGGATCCCCCATCTTTTCCCATGCTTTCTGGGTCTCTGTCTTCCCCCCCCCACTTCCCCCACATTTTCCCATATTCTCGGGGGAATCGACGATTCATTGCGTCTATGTTCTTCTTCCCCTCCTGACATTGCCACCCGCCCGCTGCGTGCCGCTCGCGCGCCGCCGGTCAGTCCATCTCCATCAGGCCGGGCCCCGCGGGCGCCGCGCCGCGGGGGCGCGCCAGCCGCTCGTGGGCCGCCTCGGTGGCGGCGGCCTTGGCGGCGGCGAGCGCCTCCTCGCTCTCCTCCGCCTCGCGGGCGTGCGAGAGGCCTGAGGCTGGCGCGCGAGGGCGCTCGAAGTGGCGAGGCTTGGTGGAAGGCCAGGTCACGGCGGGCGCGGCGTGCCGAGGGCGCATCCTCCTCCTCCTCTCCCTCCCTTTTTTCCTCTCCTCTCCTACTCCATCATCCTCCTCCCTCGACTCCTCCTATCCCCACCTCGCTCCCCCTCCCTCCTTTTATGCCTCCTCCTCTCCCTTCCCCCTCCCCGCCCTTCCCGCCCTGACTTCCTCCTCCTCCTCCTCTCCTCCCCCCTCCTCCTCCTCCTCCTCCTCCTCCTCCTATCCTCGCCTCCTCCCCTTTCCCCTCTCCTCCTCCTCGCCCTGCTCCTTCTCCTCCTCCTCCTCTCCTCCCCCTTTCCTCCTCTCCCCTCCTCCGAGCGGGGACGGTGGAGGGGGTGGGTGGTGGAGGGGGTGGGTGGTGGGGGGGTTCTGTCTCTCCGCGCCGTCGGCCTCAGGAGGCCGTTTTTCGGGCCCCGGGGGGTCGCCTCGCCCCCTCTCCCTCCCGTCCTCCCGCTCCGCAGGGCCGGGCCGGGCGGGTCGGGTCTGCCGGGGCCAGGCCGCCCTCCCCTCCTCCTCCTCCTCCTCCTCCTCCTCCTCCTCCTCCTCCTCCTCCTCCTCCTCCTCCTCCTCCTCCTCCTCCTCCTCCTCCTCCTCCTCCTCGGTCCCTTCCCAGCCTTCGCTCTTCCCTCCCTGTCGTCGTGCCGCTGCCGCCGCTTTCGCTGCCGTCGGCCGCCGCGTGTCGTCGTCGTCGTCGTCGTCGTCGTCGTCGTCGTCGTCGTCGGTCGTCGTCGTCGTCGTCGTCGTCGTCGTCGTCGTCGTCGTCGTCGGCGGAGTCGTCGTCGTCGTCGTCGTCGTCGGGGTCGCCGCCGCTGCCGCTGGTGGCCTCCGCGTGGCCTCGTGCCGCCGCGTGGGGGAGAGCTGGCAAGCTGGCCCAGGAGCGTGCTCGTTGGGAGAGTGCGAAGCCCAGCCCTCGGAGGCATGCCGGCCGCGGCAGCCCCTCCGAGGCCAGTTGGGGTGCCCTCTCCCCCCGTCGTCGTCGTCGTCGTCGTCGTCGTCGTCGTCGTCGTCGTCGTCGTCGTCGTCGTCGTCGTCGTCGCCTCGTCGTCGTCGTCGTCGTCGTCGTCGTCGTCGTCGTCGTCGTCGTCGTCGTCGTCGTCGTCGTCGGGGTCGCCGCTGCCGCCGCAGGGGGCTGCCGCGTGCCCTCGTGCCGCCGCGCGAGGGAGAGAGCTGGCAAGCAGGCCCTGGAGCGCGCATCGGGGCGCCGAGGCCGCTGTCATCGGCCGCCGGGAGTCCTCGAGTCGCCGTGGGGGCAGGCCGTTGGAGGTCCTGGAGGTCCTTTCGGGCCTTCGGAGGCCCTGGGTGTTCCGTCGGGGGTCCTGATCGCGTCCCCGTTCCTCGGCTCTTGGGGTTTCCCTTGTCGCCCTGTCCGGTGGCAGCTCTGAAAACTTGTGCCTTCGGTCCTGGGGGTCTCTGCCCATCCCCTTTCCCGCCTCCCTCCTTGCCCTCGTGTGCTGGCTTCTCTTCCTCCCTCCTCCCCGGCTCTAGTGAGAGGAGTGGCCAGGGGCTACATCTCAGCGTCCCTGGGGCAGCCATGGACAGCCTGCTGGGTGCTATCTGGGACGCTTTCCCGCATGAAAGGGGCTTCGGGCCTCAAGGAGACCAGGCGGCGGACGCTCTACTGCAGTTCAGGTGGCAGCAACTCCAGGAGGAGGCGCACAGGCTTATGTCCATGGCTAGGCGTGTGGAGTGCCCCCCGTCTTCTCAGTCCCTCTCCGAGCTGCTTGCGTCCCTGAGGTGGGCGTTGGGGGTCCAGGTCCTCGGTTCACCCAGCGACAGAGCCTCGCCCCTGCTGGAGGGGGTGGGAGCGAGCACCCCCTCAGAAGTGAGGATTGGCGTAGGTTCGCCGAGTACCTTGGGATGCCTCTCCATTGATGGCTCCAGGGTGTGATGGGGTGTTTTCACAGATCGCAAAGCAGACATCTTGGAAGCGTTCAGCCGGCTCAATCTCGTCGTGTTGGGGCTGCCAGGCGCACGCCTCACTGAAGGGGTCGTCATCCCGGGGCATGCCGACATAGGCATAGAGGCGCAGGGCGGCCCCTCCTACGCCAGTGTCGCTGTCATTTGGGACAAGGTCCGGCTCCCTACGGCCAGCAAGGTAGCAAAGGTAGGTTCCAATCGTCGGAGTACTCTCGATGCGCATGGGCTCTCGTGGTATTTCTGCACGGTCTACCTTCCACCTGTGCCCAAAAGGGGTCCAGACCATGAGTGGTTTCTCGAAGTAGACGGGCTTCACGAGGACGTGGAGGCACTTCTGGGGCCAGCACCTCTTCCAGACAGCGCTCGTGTGGTTGTCATGGGGGACATCAACATGCAGCCGGAGGAGATTCACGGGGCTCGGGAGCCATCGCGAGCCCGTGCAATCCGCTGGTCACGTTTTGTCGCCACGTGGGGCTTCTCACTCATCAACCCTCCGTCCGGCCAGGGGCCTGCCTCCAAAGTGCGTCTGCCCCTCCGGGGCCGGAGCCTCGACCTCAGACCAGGGGACACCCATCACGGTGGGAACAGCGCGCGATGCATCGATGTAGTGATTGTTTCCCGGGCGGCCCACGGTGTAGCTCGAGTGCACAACGGACTATCCTGTCGAGGGGAGGGGGGGTGCAGCTGGGAAGAATGCGTGGAGTACACGTACGGGGACCATTTCCTCATCGACTTCACTGTCCCCCTTCCTCTTCCGCCGGTGTGCGACGGTCCAGGGGCCATTCGCATGCCGCGGTGGTGGAACTCCGAGGCTGCATGGGCCGAGGGGCTCGCCGTGGCCCGCCCAGTCCTGCAAGCGTATGCGGGCATTCTGCGGCATTACTGCGAGGATGAAGAGGGCAGCTCCCGCACGAGGAAACTAGGTCTGAGAGCGGCGCAGTGGTTGGCGGACGTGGCCGCCTGGCTGCTGCATCTCATTCTGGGTCTCGTCCTGGCGGGTTGGGTGGTGCCTCAGGCGGCTGCCTTCCCCCGTAGGCGCACTGGGACCCCAGCCCTGCGGGGCAAGGTGCGGTCGGCCATCGAAGGGCCGGGCACAGCTCAGGAACGTGCAGTAAAATGCATGCGGCTCCTACGCCCGAGGGAGCCCAGGCCAGCGCCCCGTCTGAGGGGACATGCTGGGGAGACCCTGTCTCTAGAAGCCTCGCGGGAGTCCTTGTGCCAACAGTTACGGGACCAGTCACAGTGGCCAGGTCCGTGGGACCTGGACTTCCATGCACATGTGCAGGGCACTCAGCCCGGGGTTCAAGGCCAAGCACGTGCCTACCGTGGGCGCGGGTCGCACGATGCCCCGGTAGAGCTGTGGGAAGTCGAAGTTTCT